TAAGTCGCGCCAGTTATATTCCTTTTGTTTTGTTATTTCATTTGAGTTTTTTTTATAAAAACATAGTTTAACAAATAACGTATAAATCCAAGTTTCAAACTTTGTGCAATATTTGAAAAAAAAAAATCAAATAACTTTCCTAAAAATTTCGAGCTTGTTACTTCGATTTTCTAGAAAGATTTTGAGTATGCAGGGTTACAGCCCACTCAATTGTATTATAATAAAGTGAAATTTCAAGTGTCTAAAAATTTTCATTATAGAATTTTTTTGCCGAAGTTTTTGCGGTTTTCTACCATACAAAAATAAATAATGTTTATTCGTTATATGAAATATAATAATTTTTTTTTTTTGGCCATTATTAATATAATTTTTGGCCATTTTAAACTTTATTATACTAGAATTGTACGAGCTGAAATTCCCCACAAAAACGGTCCATTCCACACGCAAATTGAAATTCCCCACAAATCGGGGAATTCCCCACAAAAACGGTCCATTCCCCGATTCCCCACGAGTTGGCTACCCTGGAAGTGAAGTACAAGAGCGAGGAAGTACAGTTTTAAGGTTAATTAAATATGCATGTATGTATGTACATATCGATTTTTAAGTAAAATCTAAATACCTAAATACATACATATGTATGTATAAAAACTGGTTTATAAAGATTTTAATCTTTTAAGACAATCTGTATTTTCTGTTTTCAATTTAATACAAATAACTATGCACTTATCTAGGCAGTCTACATTAGTTTCTCTGTAAGGTATTGTTCGCTTCTCTGGACTCTGTTTATCCATGCGTTCTCCCTTCGTTCGAATGTAATGCTGCGAGTAAGGGCTTACGGCCAATGACATGCCCATGTTAAAATAATGCCTTCTTGAAGCGAAAGGGTAAGCGATTCCCATCGCCTAGCCCGTTTCCACTTCCGTTTCTGTGGTAATCGTGTTTTTTGCTAGGTTGTGACCATAATAGGTAACTTTTCGAGTGCTTGGTAACTTGGCAACTTTTTTTTTCATTTGGTAACTTTTGGTAAGTTTGCCGTGTATAAAGTCACACTAAAAAAGTTGGATAATTTGATAAATTGTACTGTGTTTGTGTGTAGCGGTAACAACCAGGGATGGAAAATCCAAATTTCAAATTGTACCTAATTTGACAATAGAAATGTACCTTTTCACTCAAATGCACTCAAAAAGTAGCTCACGATTTTATTAACTTTTTTATTATTTTTAGACTATTGCTAAAAATTAAATAAATTTAAACATTATTTGCAATAACAATAAATTGATTAATATATCAAAACAGTTGAATTAATATTCGTAAAAATGCAATTAATATATATGTATGTATGTACATTGGGGTAGTCCAAATAAAATTAAAGTCGGAATTTCAATGCTCTCACCCTCTAGGATTGTACTTTAATGAAAAAATTCGTTTTATATGGAAATCAAAAAATATTTAGGGGTCGCTCAAAGCACTCAAAGTTTTCCATGAATTTTATATGGAGAAAAACATGGTTTCGTAGAAATGGTAAGGAAGAACTTGGTTTCTCTTTCGGACCTTTTTACCCAATTGTTTATTTAACCTCTTTATACTATTAACTATTTCTTATAGGACCCCTAAAACCTTCAAAACAATGCAATGGGGGACCCATAAAAAATTGCTATTATTAGAAATCGTAAAATGATCAATTGGGTATTATTATTGGCAGTATCTTAAAGAGAAGCAATGCTTTCCTATCAACAAATATTGATTTAAGAATTATATACCATTTTTACGAAAACTTGTTTTCACCCCATATGAAATATGTACATGGAAAACTTTGAGCGCTTTGAGCGACCTCTAAATATTTTTTGATTTAAAAAAAGGGTATAATTTTTTTTTGGTATCATTCATTCATTTTATTTAACCCTGCTTATAAACTATGTTTTTAGTAGGCTTTCTTATGGTTACGTTTGAGTTTACATGTTTGCGAATTACATAATTATTAAAAAATATACTTAAAGTGAAAGTACTTAAGAAAGTATTTGAGAAAATTACATTAGTTTTCACAATTTATTCATCTAATATGTTGGCTCTGAATCGCAAACAGTTAACAACATATGCATTGGATTGCTTTCAAACTCTTTTGAAGTGGTCCTAGGTAGTAGTCCCTAAAGGAATAATAAGTTGGGTACTTGAAGAGCAGATGCTCGAGGCTTTCTATTTCGCCTAGATTGCTCTGCGTACATAAAGCATTTGGCCTTTGTATAAAACCTTATGTAGTACTTCGTAGGCAGCCGAACTTGAGCTTAAATTTTACTCCAAATTTGACTTACTTAAGATTAAGATATTTCCGCCTTTCCCAATTGAAATGGACATACATGGAGATTTTCACTGTTCGCAAAGAATTTAATAGAGAAACTTGGTCACTTTGCAAATATTTCTTGTTGCCGCAATGACATGTTCACAATGATATATGAGTTGCCATATCTCCTTGTTTACAAAAATGTTCTTATTTTTTTCACAAGCAACGTAGTCTTAAATATGGATATATATATTATATATTTATTTTTTCAAGAAAATGATAGCAGCCGCAAAGTTATTTTGCTAGCATCAGAAATAATGAAAAATATTTCTCGTGATTTTTCTTGAGAACTACAATGGTATTTCTTTGATGATCAACGAAAATAAATATTTTTTAAACTTTTTTTGATAACAAAAAAAAAGACTTATTTCTGATATTTTTTTATATAAATAACGAAATGGATTTTTTTATTTGCATATCTATGCTGTACAATTAAAGTAGCTAAAACCGATATAGGCCCTTTTCATGGGATCTCAAACAATATTTTAAAATTTAGCTAGCCATAGCTTTAGTTCAAGATGCACTTTTCATAGAAACTTAATAAAAATATAAACATTTTCAAGATAAACTGGTTATTTTTTAATTCAAAGTCAAACCTTTTAAAGTATCTTTAATTGAACGGTACAGATATATGTATTCGATAAAAAAATTGCCAAAAATCAACGGTAAGCCTTAGCTACTTCATTTTTGAATTTTATACTAAAATTTAATGGCCAACAAAACCGCATAACATTTTTTCTAAAGATGCTGATTAAAAAGTTTAAAATTTGGTGAAATTTTGCAGAATTTTCATAATTTTTGCACAAAGTCTGATACTTGGATTTATATGGTGTTTGTTAAGCAATCAGCTTTGCTTTCATACAAAAATAATAAAATTTAAAAACAACTAAAGAAAAATAACCAAAACTTGTCCAAATGTCGCATCCCAGTTTGGGCCACTGTAAATCTCCAGCCCGTTCAGATGAACGTAGTTTTTCGTGGCAAAAACTTGCTCTGAGCTAAAATTCTTTAATTTTTGTAATTAAATAGGCATAATTTCTTAACTATTGTAGTGATGTCTATCATATAGAATTTAATGAACCATGCCAGTTAATACATAATAAGAAATTCGAATTGGAAACATATTAAATAAGACACATATTTACTTTACTTTACTTTAATTTTACTTTTTCAGACTTTACTTTTCCTACTAGCTTTTGAAATTTTAAATTTGCCTCTAATAATTTTATTTCGTATAGCAGCATTGCTTAAGTTGATGTTTTTTATTTGTTGGTTAATGACTGCAAATAGTTTTATACCATAATAAATAAAAATGGTTTATAGTTTAGTTTATTTAGTGCACCGAGTTTGGGAGAAATTGAGGAACCAGTTACCGAGATACAGTCGATGTCAAAATAAAGTGTACAAAATTGTTTTATTACATTGCTAGTTTTATTTAAGTTTTTGTTAGATGATAAAATGTAACATTTCACATTTTTTGAAAATCTATGGAAAAAAACAAAATTCTTACAAAAACAAAAGTTATGAACAGAAAATATATAGTTCTTCATACACTTGGCGTCGAATGAAAGTGTACAAATTGGGTTCAAGTACTTCTAAGATAACGGACACCGAAAGTAACCGTTACAACGTCGCCTGCTATTGTGTTTGTTTTTGAAAGGCAGCTTGAATGAATCATTTGAAGTGTATGCTTATTCGTGATCAGTTTTAAACCACAATGAAAACACAAACGTAAATCGATATTCGCGAACTTGTGGTAAAATATCATAGGAAAGGAAAAACTTTGTGCGAAATTTGCTTTCTTATTAATAGAAGTCACAATAATATAAAAAAATAATTAACAAACAAATTATCAGCTAATAAAAACTTAAATAAAGCTAGGAATGTAATAAAACCATCTTGCACACTTTCTTTTGACGGCGACTGTACACATTTGTGGTCATAAAACGGCGGCGCCTCGACCATTATCCAAAAATGTATAATAATCAAATTTTGTGCTAAGTGGTTATTGTAATTATCGATTTTGAGTCGATGTCCTTCATTAGTTACTGATTTATCGCAGTTTTCGTGTTTCAGTCAATTACCGTTATAAGAGAGGTTGGCGTGGTTATCGCCCGATTTTAAAGATTTTTAAGAGAGGCCCTACCGAGTTTGGGAAGCATTGGTGAAGCGGCTACTGAGGTACAGCTTTTCATCATAAGTGGGAGAGGTCACGCTCGTTTTCAAAAATTTCATAATAGTACTCTTTTTTATCTAAATTCGACTTCGCATACTAATTTTCAAATATCGTAGTTTCTTCATTTTTCGAAAATACCGTTATATGGGAAGTGGGAGTGGTTACAGTTCGATTTCGCGCATTTTCAGTACCAACCTACCTTGGATACAGGGAAACCTACATGCCGAATTTCGTTGAGATAGCTCAATTTTTGCTCAAGTTATCGTGTACACGGACGGACAGACGGACGGACAGACAGACATGGCTTAATCGACTTCTCTATTCATTCTAAACATTTATGTATACATTTGTCTATATCTATCTCGATTCAATTTGGCTGTTACAAACGACCGTTATGTGAACAAAGCTAATACACCCTTGTGCACAAGTGCGCTCGGGTATAGAAATTAATATAAAATTACATTTCATGCTAACTTTCTTTTCCAGAACTGTCGCAACCAATAAATTTGCTTTGGGAAATCAAAATGTTATAGTTATATACGCACAATTATACCATACGGTATACAAACATAGCTTCTGGCTTGTAATGGAAAACTGAACCACGATCTTAGAGTCGAACAGAAGCTTGAAATACACGTGCATAGATATGTATTAATGTAAGCCTACGAAATGCTCTTCAAACGCATTTCATCCATTAATTTACGAAGTAGACAATATGAACGACGAACGCGGCTTCCATCATCAACGAAGACCACCTGACGTCGAAGAGGCGCTTTCATCCATGCTTTGGAGGCCATATGAGCGTAACTCTAGTGATAGTTCCTCCGACGAAGAAGATCAGAAGGGGCGGACCAAGCGGTTGCGTAAACCCCATAGCTATTATGAGCATCGAATCACCTACGAACCATTTACATCATCATACTTTGGTGATGATGACCAGTTAGAACCAACAGTGGCGATAACAACAACCCCGGAAAGTGCAACCAGCACCCTGCAATCAATACCTTTTGTGCCTTTTTCCAATTTTTTCTACGACAATGTGAACAACGACGATACATCCGGAAGTAGTCAGTGCGAACTCAAAGTATTTGAGTCTAATCATAAAGAAGCTGGAATATATAAAGACCGTTCTTTCCGATTCTCATATCCGTACTATGTCCCGATTCCCAGCCTTAACAAATGGTGGTCTGCGTCAAATACCTCAAAGGAGCCACCTTCTTATGAATCTCTGTACGTGAAGGATTCAGCAACAGCGGTGGTACTCGATACTGATGACACAAGCTCAAGCTGTCAAGCTGATACACTGACAGTATTCCCTGACGGGCAATACGATTCTCTCAAATGTGATAATTATAAGGAAGAGCCAACTCAGAGAGAGGACTTTTTAAGTTTGAATCAAGAGGTGAGTTAAATACATAGAAGCATATATATGTAGCATATGTACATACCTACACACCCAGCAAAAAACACGATTATCACAGAAGTTAAAATGGAATCGAATTAGGCGATGAGAATCGCTTACTTTTTCGCTTCAAGAAGATATTATTTTAACATGAGCATGTCATTGGCCGTAAGCCCTTACCCATAGCATTACCTTCGAACGAAGGGAGAACGAATGGATAAACAGAATCCAGAGAAGTGACAAAAAATGCTTTACAGAGAAACTAATTTAGAATGCCTAGAAAAGTACATACTTATGTACATACTAGGAATGTTAATCCCGGGATCCCGGACTTTTTAAAGTCTCGAAAATCCCGGGATTCTTGGCAAGTAATCCCGGGATTTTCGTGATTTGTGATTTATTTAATAATTAATATTTTGTTATAAATGTCTAGCTCATTATACATATTACACCGCGCGATAGTAAATTTTAAACACAAATATCAATATCACAGCATACGGCAGTGCGCGTGAGTGACGAAAGCATCCACAGTAGCTTGCTCAAATGACTCGCTTATATATACACGAGATTTGGAAGTTTTTATCCCGACATCCAATCGACATGTTTTATATATTGTTGGAAAGGTCTTGCAGAGTGTGTCCAGAAAATGTATGTAATGTCAAGCTTCATAAACGATTAACCGGATTCTTAAAAATTTGGCTAAAGTGTTGCGAAACAAAAAATGTTTTATTGCTTTTGTCGGTTTAAGGGAGCATGTGGGTACACCCAACATATTTAGTGTTATTCTATAGGCCAATACCTTTCAAACGATACCTTATATATTAGTTTCCGGCTACTAATTGGAAAGATATAGAGGTAAACGTGTTTTGGTTCGTGTCTCCACTACGAGATGCTTTGGTATGGTCTGTACGTACCATTATTTAATTTTTTCAAACTTTCAGGAATTAAAGTACAAAAAAAACTAAGAAGGTTTTGTACCAGGATGTTTTGATTCGTATGCCTTTGTGGGCGTGGCTGCTGCCTGAAATTCGAAAAAAGGCAATTTTTTAAACTACCACTGAGGCCGCATTACTCAGTCCATGACATTGATGTGGATATCACTAGAAGGGTCTTCAAACAAGCTATCTGATGCTATCTTTTGTGTTTTTAAAATATAAATATGTCATAGCGCTATCGCCCGAAAACTGAAAATCGGGCTACTGAAAATATAGATTTCGGGCATTTTCTCAAAAACTGGTCAGTCGATTTTATTCTATGTTTCCACAAATTTAGCTTAAAACCTTAGTTTACATCTGGTATATAGCTTATATCTGGGTAAACTCTTGTTGTGGTGATATTGCGATTCGAATTTAAAAAATGTCGCTCCAAAGAGGGTCAAATGGTTAAAAATTAAAATATCCGTCTAATTTGGTTACTTTAAGATATAAAAATAACATACCCAATAACAAAAATAACATACCCAGGAAAAAATCGCCCATTTCCCGAATTCCACTTAAACCGAAATTCCCTGAAAATCGACAAGTTGAAGAATGCAGCTGTGCTAATCACTTCGTACATATCTTGGAAACCACAATTTGTGTGTATTTTAGAGTTTTTTCAGTCACATGCCGAAATTGCAACATTTTTCCCCATTTTAATTGCAGGTATGTACACAATATTTACCTATGCTAAATGTGTTTATCACCCGCACTTAACCTACCTGGAAGGACGCGTACAATATTACCTACAGTTATACATAAATATGTATGTATAAATGCATTTAGTTCATCCAATGCGCCGCTACTACTTACATACATATGTAGAAATTGCCACTGAGCAAAACTACTTGAGAAAAAATCATTAGTTTAATAGCACGAGTGCAACATCGTACACGTGATAGAAGTAAAACTTCTTAAAAACGCACATGTGTGCCACCACACCTGGTAGAAATCTTAACCAAAATAAACTGCGCGACAATCAGACGAGTACAGTTTTTTATTGTATCCAATGTTGGTACCAAGTTGATAAGTTTTCATTTCTCATAATTTTTTCATTTCAATTTTTTCGAATGCAAAGGATATGATAATTAATTTTCGCTTTATTCCGTATTCGAAAAATTATATGTTTCAATGGATACATCGATTTGAATACATAATTTAGATTTAGATAACATTTTTAGTAATTTATTTGAGAAAAATAAAACATTTAGATTACTGTTTGTATTTTGGTCGATTTTAAATATGCTACACCAAAATAATTGATATCAAATAAAACACCTCTTTGAGGTAAAATTTTCGAGTGACGAAAGCTGAACTAAAAACACAGAGCTTATGATATCAATTTCGTGACGAAAATTATACGCATTTTTTATTTTCCTTGGAAACGTACGGAAAATCTTTTTTTATTTATTCCGAACGTTGCGAATTTCCGTTTACTGCTAGAAACACAATTAAAAAAAACAGAACTTTTGCAACGATTCGTATTCATTCACGTCCCAATTTTTTTTTTTTTATTCAATACCAACACATCTTAATTTAACATGGAATGACACTCGTTTATCTCACCTCCTTTTTTCGTATTTTGAATGAGCTTATTCGCAAAGAAATTAAATGGGTGAGAAAATACCTTACCAATGATACCTCATACGTCTAAATGGTAAGGTTTTGGCTGAGTTATTTAAGTTTTTCTTAAACCAGTCTTTGAAAAAAGGGCAAAAACAGCATCAAAAATCTCGTTATTATGATTCCATGGAAATTTTTTTTATATTTTATGCAAACTTTTTAAGCTTAAACTACTCAGTCATCTGAGGTAATTTTTTCAAAAAATATTTTTAAAAAAACTGTTTATTAATAAAAGAACTCAATTTGTGGAGGTATTTTCAGATCGTAAATCTTAATATTTTCGCGAGATATTTTGGTGGAAGTCTTAAAATATAATACATAGATTTTATAATTCCAGTGGAAAAACAGTACCGCTTTTTTTTTGCATGGGCAGAAATGCAGTTACTGTACATAAGTTGGCTATGATTACTCGGCTACTACTGATACTACTTTTTGTTGTTTATGTGAAATATTTTATTTTTATCAGTATTTTTCTTTTAATCAAAATATGTTGAAATAAAAGTGAAAAAATTTTTTTGTCAGAAGCGCCCCCCCGCAAAAAAAACCTGGCTGCGGCCCTGTGTACACATATCAAAAATGTAACACCTGAATCGCTGTTTTTATGACGTGTCAAATATCCGCTAACTTTTTAAACGACCCTGAACCAACACTGGAATTCATCAATATCACTCATGTGATAGCTTAATAAACGATAAACCAATTTACATTAAACAAAATGAATAAATAAAATTAAGCCTAAAATTGACTTAATAACGTCAGCCAGTGAAATGTATTTTTTTATTTTTCCTTACACACACTCATCCTTATTTTGACTCTCCCGAAAACTTTGACGTTTGATAGTTTGACGTCACATTGGCGTCTACCCAAGGTTCATAGAATACAAGGTTACGACATCACCATGGCCGCCATCTTGATGACGTAGATGGCTCAATTTTTGGAGTTGCCAGATTCCTAAAAAATTATCTTATAAAAATACACTATTTTAGTCAAAATTACATCACTTTTTTTTTAAATATTTTTATTAAGCTTTGCACCACGATTGTTTATTAGGAAAAATTGAAAAAGCAACAAAGTCTAAGCGGTAGAAGTTATGGCAGCTATTTCGGAGATCACCACATCTCCTCATCAGACTTCTTTTTTCTAGACTTCAGCAGGGATCGAACCCCCCCTCAAGTCAAAGAATAATATTTCACTAACATGGGTCTAGAAAAGAGGCTCTTTAGAAGAAAGTGTGCGTAATAAAGTTTCAAAACACGAATTTTTAAAATCATATATTCAGCTTTTCGCTTTATTTTTAAACCTTTTTGATAATTTTAAACACATTAAATTTTTCTTTTTACTTATACATCAATGAAACGAAGAATTTTAAAATTTTTCGTGGTTTTTTGAAAAATTCTTCTAGAACTTCGTCAACTGAAAAATTTATATCTTTGTGAATATTCATAGATGCTAGACCGTTGAGCCTCTCTTGACATGTTGTATTTCTCAAGGAGGTTTTAATTCTTTTGAGGCATGAAAAGCTTCGTTCAGGTGTGGCTATTGAAACGGGAAAAAGTGCCAATATATGTAAGATCTTAAAAACATTCCTAAAAGACGCTGTATTAGCTACTTGTAATGCTTCGAGAGCATTTCGAAAATGTTCGTGTGAAACTCGTATTTTCCACATTTTTACCTCCAGAAGAAAGTTTTGTTTCGAGCAGTCGATTACTTTTTCATAGAAAGCAAACAATTCTTCAGTTTTTTTTCGTTAAAATCCTACTTTGGAAACAAAACACTAAAATTATTTAAAACTGATTTATGGTTTAGGAACCGGCTTTTCAAATGAGCAATATATGTATCAAGGAAGGGAATGTAAAAAGCAATGCAATAGTATGCCTCGCCGTCTCCGGTTTTCATATTAAAGCGATTCTTTTGGCGACTGCTGTATCGCGGTACTTTGATTTCTGTACCTAGGTTGGTGCATACTTCTTCTACGTGTTCGAAAAGAAAATGAAAGTTTTTTTCTGCATCTTGTCGCATTTCTTCAAATTCCTTTAAAGCATCGTCGGCTAAGCTCATTGCTTCTGCAAGGCCTTCATCAGGTACTTGTAATTGCCGGCTAGCAAAGCAACAACAATTTATAAAAGATAATAAAAAAAAAAATATTTTTTAAAAATAAGCTTTTATTTAATCTGTACAATCAAAGGAATAAAATGAAGTAGTGTAACAAAAGATTTTTGTCAAAACTGCACTAAAATGAATAAAATAAAATAAGTTAAGGTCTCGTTAAAGTTATTAAAAGCCATTTAGTGAAAGGAGTTATTCAAACTCTAATGAAAATTACTAACAATTTGTTTTAATTTACTTCGTTTTTAAAAAAGCTTGTCGGCGAATTCAGCGTACATGCATAATTGGTTAGGT